GTTTTATGTTTGCTTATAAAACCTTAACTAATAAACCAATATAGTTGTTTTGAAAGAATAGTCCAATTATGTGTTCTCCTTTTATGGAAAACAATTTCACCTTCTTAACAAAACTGTTTTCTCTTTCTTAAGTAAACTTTTTCTCTTCTCTTTCTTACATTAACTGTTTCCTCTTTAAGTAAATTGTTTCCTCCGTCTTAAGTCTCTTTCTTAAGTAAACTATTCTAAAGTATATTAATTAATTATGGTATATATTCAGTGTATGAACCTCTGATATAAAACAAAGATAATTACGTAAACATTTTCAATAAGCATCAGGGTTAAATAGAGTACTTTAAAGTTGTAAGAAATGTGCTTATTACAACTTATTTAAACAGTGAAGTATTATATAGCAAATATAGCAAGTATTTAGAATATTTAGACAGTTTATCCCCCCCCCACTGAGATAGGCACGTGCTATCTTTAGGACTGTTGTTTTAGTCCTGATCCATAAAATTATTTAATATATAGGCTACATTGTCTGCATTCGGTAAATCATATGTTTCATCACCATCCGGGAAAAACGATTCTTTAATGCTTTCTAATTCCTTTTCTATGTCTGTATCTTTTTCATCTTTCCCGTTATTTTTCACTGTTTCTTGTTCTCTCTCTGCTTTGTTATCTAATTCTTTCTGTCCATGTTCAACCGATGTTGTCCCTACTTTTTCTTCAGGCTCAAAAACCTGACCAAAAGAGTTTTGTTTGAGACTTGTTTTGATGTTGAATGGTTCCTCAGATTCGTTCACGTCAGGGCATAATCCAATAGGAGGACCATTTTGACTATTAACTTGGAAATTTTGCTCGGCATTATTTTCTTTTTCAGCATGATTTTTTACGCTTTTATCTTCTTTATGCTGAAAAGTATGTGTATTTTACATTGTGCACATTTTTGGATTTGGAAATGAAAGAATCTCACCGATATGTTTTATCAGGTCAGTGAATAAGTCTAAGAAAAATTACTTGGTTTAACAAAATATAACTCTAGAAGTTAATATAATTCAATTAAATGAAACAATTTTAAAAAGCAATGAACCTAATGACTAAACAATTTTTAAATCTGTTTTGTTATACAGTTTTTAGCGAGCAAAGTATTCAAATAAAAATATTAAAAGAAATCAAAGCATACTTTAATTTGTTCAAATTTTATGAACAGTAACGTGGTGTTATCACAGTCAATACTCTTCTCCTCCAGATATTTCAGCAATTTTGGTCGTGCGATATTCCCGTAAACAGCTAATTCATCGTATACTTCTTGTCCAATACAAAGATTTGTCCTTCCCCACTTTAGGATATATAAAGTTTCATTTTCATTTGTATTTATTTCTTGAGTTTTATAGAAGCATTCGTAAGTTATGGATAATACTACTTCTTTACTAACATGACATTGGTTCGAGATAAGGTCTATAACAAAATGCATAAACATGTCATAATCATTTTGACGAATTGGTATAGAATCTAAAAGCAAATTTTGTTTTGCATTTTCAATTATATACTGTTCAGTTATACTTCGTTTATGTTGCTGTGATTCTGATTTTGATTGATCTTTCTTTCGTTTTTTAATTCGCTCTTGTTTGACAGTATTTTTATCATTATTATTGCAATTAGTTTCAACACTTGTTTTGTTTAACTGAACTGATGTTTCCTGAAGATTTGATACTTCGTTTGTAGTATACCTAGAACAGTAGGAGCAATGGGCCACTTGAAACTTATGTGTTTGTCTTGATCTGACATATAATTTTCTCGCAAAATTAGAATTCTCTGGTCCTTCATCATCATGTAATGCCATATACTGTTGAGAATGTGCAGTGTTGTTCCCAAATGTTTCGTTAAAGTTGTAAGGGACTAAAGGCATTGGCGTTGTCACTTTCATTGGGGGGTTCCTTAAAAGAAAAATAAATAGAAAGGAATAAATGCACATTCAAAGCTTGACTTAACTTTATCCTTATGAATTTAAAATCTGACCAGTTTAAAGGAATGATTCAATACTGTCTCAGAAGTTCATTATTACTCGGCTAGAATGGCGATGTTATAATTGATTACATGTCGTTATGTGTAAAACATTTTATTTAAAAACAATCATTTATCTTTGACTTGAAGATCATTGACAACAACAGTCAAATAATAAGATATTTCAAGGAGTCTGAATAAAAATATATATCTAGTGATTGACATTATCGGTAAAACATCAGTTAAAAATCCATTTCAAAAGAACAAATTATCATTATATTGATCTGCTAACTATTTGCGATTCAGTAAAATTGGATTAGCATGATTATGTATATTTTATCATGATGTCATATGCGTTATACAAAAATAAAGTAAAATCACACTAAAGTTTAGTGTTACAACATAAGCGCACGAATGAACGGTTCTGATTATGTTAAGTATGCGACAAATACTAATAAATTTATTGATCTCGTTGAATACAAAAATGTCACAACCTGCGTTGTTTATTTACTAAATAGCCTTGACGTCGGAGGGTTAAACTCCGGAATGGCATATTGCAACGTCACATTTAGGTCCTCTAGCTTCACAAAACGATCGGTTCCGGGTTAAACTAATGATGTACATGTCTTATGTTCGAGATATTTATCATAATTTTTAATTGTTCTGTATGATTATATAAATACTACATTCCACAATCTTCAGCCTCGACAACACAATGTCAACCGAGGCAGTGTCTAGGTTGAGCATTTCCCTCACTTGAATGTGATAATGATATATTATCCACGCCATAAATACGCATATTTTAATTCCATTCAACTCATTCAATAAATTTATTATGAAACATACACTCGTTTAATCATCCTACCTGATCTTTATTCCATACATATATAAATTCTAACCATTTTTCGGATCTGATGGCATGTATTTAAACATTAAATTATATATTTTAAACATGATAAACAAGAGCACCATCAATGCGGGGCAATATACGCCCGAATGTAAATTTGTCTGAGTAAACAAAATAATCTTTCAATTGGGAAAGAGACCCAATCGGGAAACTTTTTAATCCTGAGTACATGATTTAAAATACTTTTAAGAGGTATAGTTGAAAACGCTATATGACAAAATTAGAGGCATAGCATTTACCCCCAAAGTCTAAGATGTGTTTTCCTTTACTTTATACTACATCAGGAAAGTGAATCCCGGAGCAGCGCCAATTTTGACTTGAGGGCCATAATTAATAAAACTTTTGTAGAAAAATACAAATGTTGCTACACCAAATAACTAAGCTGTGAGCTTTGAAGTTGCACACAATAAAACATTAATAATAAATGTGAGATTCTATAATCAAGTGACTGAGGGACGGGCAAATGTTGACACCAGGTGCATGATTTATATATAAATAAATGAGCAGACATTCATTAAGTAATGTGACATGCTAAATATTTTAGCTTTTGGCATTGTGGTTTCACAAAATTAGACTTAAATGCATTTTCCTTCAAAAAATATATTAACTATATGCCCCGGGTGCAGGGCTGATATTGACCAAAAGGGCATGATTAATTCCAGTTATTTTGTCGTCCACAAAGTGATGTTACATGCCAAATATTTAAGCTCTTGGCATCGTAGTTTCATAAAATTAGTCTCAGATGCTTTTCCTATATAGGTTTGTTAAAATTCAGTAATCCCCAAGGGCGGGTGTCAATATTGAAGTATGAGGAAGGGTTCATATTAGTTGTGTAAAACTCACTAAGGTAATGTTACATGCTAAATATCTTCGCTCTAGATTTTGTAGTTTCACATAATGAAACGTGAAATTTGTTTTCCTGTATAAGTCTATATAATTCAAGTAAATAAGTAAGACGGGACCAATTTCGATAGCAAGAACACTTTACCTGTGTTCTGAACAGCGACTTATTATAAGTCATAATTCTGCCAAAAGTTTTAACTTCTTTACTTTCTTTCTATTGGTTCTAGAAATACAAAGCAGACACGAAATTATGAAATTCATACACAATGAAAAAAGTGACCTGGACCTGAGAAAAGTCAAACCATTTCTGCCAAGTTGTTTCAATATCCTTCCATCGGTCCAAAAGACACAGACCGGACACGGAAACTATTATCTTACGGACGGGCGACCAGGTGCCTAACACTATACGCTGAATGTTTTTTCGGGAGTATAAAATTAAAACCAAACCTTTTAATAATATCAACCAGTTTTTTATCCTCTCCTGAATCCAAGGCATGAGTAGCAGCATCTTTGATATGTTCAAAGGTTGCACTTGTACTTCCAAGATTGTTAAGCCATTTATTGAATACCTTAAAATACGCATAAAAGACCCAACCTTCTGTATGCTGATTCCTTGCTTCTAGCTCAATTTCATTAACTGTATCATCAACGCTTCTAACCATCTCCTGACAATTGCCTAAAGCAAAATGTAACATATTATGCAGCACATAGTTTTATTACTCAACATTATAAAAATATGACTGCTTCATGACATAATCGAAGAATCTTTTATTATTTAGTCCCCTTTTAAAGAAAAATGATTTTTTTAACAATTCTCCACAAAACAATAAAATGGTAGAGAGAAACAAGCCAGATTTGATTGTTTCATATAAATGGTATTATACAGATTACTTAAGCGTGTAATTTAGTCAAGGCGAATTTTAAAATAAACTAAAGATTTACTTAGTAATTCCAATGCAAAAAATTTCCAGCGTGTTGCAGAAAACGATCTTGATAACTGTAAGAAAACTTTTGTCCAGTCAGTTTGAAATTCAGGAGGAGTACCTGAAAATTAAAAAAAAACTAAATAGAATTTAAATAAAGTAAATTTCATAAAAGTACACATCTTATAATTCGATTAAGTTAGAAAGCTATGATGAATTTTTACTTTGGTTTTGTCGCGAATTTAATTATAATTGAGTATACGTATAGTGCAATTAATCTCAATTTCTTCTGATACTTTGTGTTTCACTTACAAATGTATTATTTTATTTCTCAAAAAGCCCTCAGTCGTTATAATATTAAACAAGAAATTATCGTTTAAACGGACGATTGTTTCCGAAGCGGGGTCCAGTAAATGAATCATGACTTTTGACTCATATTGACGGCATAGTAACATTTAAAATATTTTTACAAAAGTAAAGAAACACTTTCTTATATGCCCAATATGCCCATTTATCAAAAAACATCCACAAATCAATGAAAACGATATGACCATATACAAACATCGATGTCAATTTCATAAGCCTGTATTAAATTGACATCTTTAACTGACGACTTGGCATTTAAGCATGACAAGTCATATCTATGCGCCACAAATTAATGCCTGGTTATTTCTCATTCCATCAATGAATGGTGGAACTGATGACAGGACATGGACATCAAAATACTTTTTTGAAATATTATCAATGAAGGAAAAGCGTGATCTTCAGCTTTAAGTTACTTACATGTTGTCTCTAATCGAATATGGTTTAGAAGTGCTCCAAATTTAAGGCAAATTATTTTAAACTCTATTACAGTATGGACATGACTTACATTCAAAAGGAACAACAGAAGGAACTGATATACTGGATACGGCTATCAATGCGCTTTCTAAAATTATATATTCAAGTTTTATTGTGATCTTAACCCTGATCTTTGCGTACAAAACATCGGCTTTATATGCCAAAAAACAGTCTTACCGGACTTACAATCTACATATTTTTGCAAGAATCGTAATCATTTTATGTCGCATTTAGCAAGTATTGAATAAAAATTCATTCTAAAATAAAGAACTGTGTATACAGCAACAAATGATTGATAAAAATTGTTGTTTCTTAAACCCTTAATAACATCTCTATCCCTGAGAGATAATGATTGGTCCTTTATTCCGTGACCTAGCTGGTTTTTTGGTCGTTTGCTTTCTGAGCCCTCTGCTCCATTCAGAACTGGAAACAAAAAAAATATATAGATTTTTATTTTATTTTCTCACTGAAAGCATATAAATAAAACGTTATGTAACCAGCCCTTTTAAAAATATAAATAAGATATCATATATTGATTTCTGTTGTTGTGTTTACCGCATGAATGAAAAAAGAGGTCATGTATTCGTTTGCACTTTTCTATTGATAGAATTAATTGATAAAATTGATGATCATAAAGTAAACAAGTAAAATAAAAGTTTAATTTTACATCATTCAAGAAACATTAGGGTAGCAATGAACAACAGCAATCAAAAATAATTATTCTACCGTAAGTTCTCGCTTGATGGAGAACACAAATTCGTTAAAAATATAGAACTATAAAAAAGATATTTACAAATTGCTAGCATGTTCATAATCTCATTATTATATTAAATTACATATTGCAACATTTGTTGAGAATTTTCAGTCTTTTCTACATTGTGCTGCAAGTAGAAAGTCTTAAATGTGTGAATAAAAGCTCTTGAGAAATTGGTTAATACAATATGTCGTTTGACTAAGTTATAAAAACGCCACCCTGTTTTCTTCATAAAGACATGTAGACCGTAGAAGTACAGTTCCTTTTTATTAAAGAGATCCACTGGAGTTTTTTTGACATGACGAGACGACTCGAAATAATTTTTCAAAATTAATGATGTAGATCTAAAGCCCAGAAACTTATGTGCAGATTTTCTGAATTATCTTTTGCATGTACAAGTACATATATATATATATATATATATATATATATATATATATATATATATAATATATATATATATATATATATATATATATATATATATATATATGTACTTGTACATGCAAAAGATAATATATATATATATATATATATATATATATATATATATATATATATATATATATATATATATATATATATATATACATGTATTTCTGTTTTAAGTGCCTACGCTGATTTATGTCAGGCATTCAAGTTTTATGTTTTAGGCTTTTGGGCCTAAGCGGACTCCTTTATTGGCGACGGCATTTAGTGTAACCCTAGTCCTAGCGCGTGCGCGCGTGTGGATGTGCGTGTGCGCGTGTGTGGGTGCGCGCGTGTGTGTATGTGTGTGTATGTGTGCCATAACTCCTGAATGCATGATAGGAATTCAAAATATGTTGAAATACATGACAACCAATCTGTCGCGCCTAAGACCTAGGTCCCATGCTTTAAAGGTCAAAGTCACGGCAGGATTTTGAACTTGCAGTGTATTTTATATAGATTCAATTGGGGTTAATGTGTATATCCGGCCCATGCATAATGGGTTTTCAGTTTCAATTGGTATACTTGATTATCATAAAGGAACAACAGGTCAAGCGGAAGACCGAGTCCTCTAGCTAAAAGGTAAAGCTTACAGCAAGGGATTAGAGTTTAAATATTAGCTTTCTATAATTTAGTTAATCTGCATCTGAATTGTTGTCCTGCATGCATGGTGGAATTTTCACATGAACACCATAAGTAAAAAATGTGTTGTGTGCGAGACGCATGTCCACACCTTCAATGTCAATGTCATACTTGGAGGTCAAAATTAAAATCCTGTACGGCTTATAACTTTGCCATTGCTTGATCGATTGTCGAAATATTTGGATTATGTCTTCACAGCTGTCAATGCCAACCTCATTATTTGATTCAAAAGTCAAATCTTGTTTACCTTATCATTAAGTCATTACTTGATGGACAGTAAATATGTTTGGCACCGACATTATCTTATTCAGGTGGTGTTTATGCGCTAAACCTATGTTTGCACTTTTGAAGACAATGTTGGACTTAGGGGTCAATAGTCAAAGTGTGCTTGTCAACTATCTTCTTTGGTTTATACATATTATATTTTTTTATTTTTTTATAATTTTATGCAGATGTCTTCGCCATATGTGTCGCATTCAAGACTCATATCTCATATTTAAGGTCAAGGTCATTATATGGGGGTAAACATTAAGATTGAGTTTGCCTTATAACTCTTCGATAACTTGATTGGTTGACAATCTCTTTGGCATATGTTTTTATCTCAGACAGACGTTGTGTCATGTACAAAACCTGTGACTGCAACTTCAAAGCCAATGCAGGTTTTTAATGTCATTGGCCAAATTGTGTTTGTATACTACCCTCTTTGGTTAATATTGTTAGTGTTTTATAGTAACACCTAAGATTGAAAACCAACCAAGCAAAATTAGAAGATTTAATCAAATAATGCACAAAAATTATGCGGTAGATATCTTCGCCAGTGTAAGAGGGGTATCTTTTTGCGAAGGACGCACCCTAAGGCGAGTATGAAGCAATAAAACATGAGGTAAAACATTCGGAAATAACTTTTATGTGGAAAATATATGCTACAATATCTGTTTTGGATTGATTGAAATAATTTTCAAGATAACTATTCTTCCGCTAAGGAGCACTATTTTTATCAATTAGCTTATAAGGCATAGTAGCTTACGGAACGTCGGTGGTTCTACTCAGGTGCCCGTTCGTGCCTGAAATAATGCACGGAAGTGCACCTGAGGTCTTCCTCCACCAGTAAAGCTGGAACGTCGCGATTTGACCTATAATGTGTCGATGTGACGCAAACCCCAAAACAAACAAAACAAAAAATTCTGACCTTGTTCATCGATTTCCAGGTTAAAAAATCTAAACCACAATGTTTCGTGTAAAATATGTTTGATATTGATATACTATGATTGTGATTAAATTCGATTTCCTTCATTTACAAAATAGTGTGATAACGATAATGCATGTGTCCAAGCATTAAAACGAATAACAAAACGTAGTGTTAAATGTGTTAAAGTGTGTGCTGAGGTAAATCGTGCGACCAAGTTACTTCCAGGTACTTCCGGTAATATTTATGTAAACAGTAGGCTTTCGGAAATTGGCTACATAACACAAATATTGTCAACAAAAAGCTAAAAGAGAGCACTTTATCCGGGCTATAAGACAATGAAGTCGTAGTATACGATCCTTAGATTGGGTTTCCAAGACAGTACTTTACTTGATACTACTACTATAAAATATGTATAAACTATTATGAATCGAATGAAAACAACTGAGTGACCAAACACCCCTTTTTGAAATAAAAATGCGATCCATACAAGTAATAAAAGCATGAAATATAGTATTATTTATTTCTTTCATTTAATAAATATATAATTCTAAACAGTTGAATGGCATTTCACAAAAACGAACGTACAACATCAACATTTTTTTTCTCTCGGCATCATGAATTCTGCTTACACTTCTATTTTCAAGACAGATATGGTCCGTACAAGTTGTTAACTAAGATATTCAATTACTTTTATACAATAAGACTGAGATATGTGTCAAATTAAACATTTTAATGGCAAAACATATCATTTATTCATGTGATTGCGTTCAATGATGTGATAATAAGATTGTAAGACTGTTATCCCCTTACTGATCTAACCCTATTTCATAGTCTAATATTTATGTGTAGAAAGTTCCGCCACATTTGTTTTAAATGTTTCTTCATTTTGAGCTAAATGCCCCTGATTCTTAGGAAAATATAACTTTCTCATAACAAAATATTATGTGTGACGAAAAATGAAACAAAGAAAATTTAGAAGATTCCAAGGTGTCATGTCACTTGTTAAAAAATGCTGAAGCCTGATGAGAATTTTAGCTCAACTTTTCTAAGAAAAGTGTTGCTATCCCACTTGTTTTGGTGTCAGTGTCCGCGTTGGCATTCCACTTTTATTAAAGATTTGAGTGCAACATCTTGTATAACATTATATTTCATTAACCACCTAAAATATTTGTTTGTAACTTTACAGCCTCCGTTAAAGGAGATCCAAAGCTTTTAACTCCAGCATGGTTTTCGACAGCTTTGTTGCTCATTATGAAAAAGAAGCCACTTCCCGCTTAAAGTTTTTCATGTATAACATGTAATATAATTGACGATTGGTGACCATTTGTTCTGAAGGAATTCACTTGAAACTAAATACATGTCTTCGGAATCATATAGTCTTTAATATGCTTTAATCACTTTTGCTGACAAAATTCATGTTTTCGAGACCATAATTCGAGGTCACTTTCCCTGACATTGACTTTGACTGATTAATAGCCCTAAGGGAACTCAGAAATACTTATAGGTTTAGTATGTAACTTGGGTTTTAAAGAACAATAAAGGGAAAATAAATTTGAAACAAAAACAAATGTTAGGTTTTTCGGGGATAAAAAGGGAGGTAATCTTAACCCAATGAATCTTACATAGAATTTTAGTTTTCAATTTTAAAAAAAAAACTAAAATCATAATACTCATGTAAATCGTTTTATCATTTTAAAATTATTTTTTAATCTTTTTGGTCAGCATAAGATAAAAAAATTGGGGGTTTGGGGAAATTTGATCATTTGCTTTTTGGGTTACCATTTTTGTTTTTATTTTCCCTTTCATATTTAAGCCATTAAATTGCTTTGGGGTTTGGGGTATAGTTTAATGGTAACACAGTTTATGTTAATTGATTTAGCTAATCACAATACGCTTTTGCAATGCTATAATAAGTTTATTTAGTTGTGCTTAACTTGCAATATTTCATAATTATATGAATTCAAAGGACAATGTCTGAAAAGAAATATTTAGTTCCTGAGTTTCAACATTTTATTTAATGTTTAACGTTTAAAAAGAAAAAAATTCCCGTTATTAATTTATAAAAGGCTTTTCCCCTTGGGGGATTCTCGGGGTTCTCCGCAAACCTGAACTTTCCTTGTTCTTGCTGTAAAAGTCATCTGAGTTTTCAACTTCTTTGCAGTCTTAAAGACAACACGAATCATCATATTATATCAAAACGAAATAACAGACCTAATTAATTTACTATGCATCATGTTTTTGAAAAAGAGAAACATTATGTTTGAATAACTTTCTGTGATATAAAGAATGAAAGGTAAAGTAATGAAAGAGACTGTTTAAGTTTAATCTAGCAAATTTACAATTCCTGTATTTTTAAATCACACTATATATGGTTTGGAAAACAAGCAAAGCACTCAATTATATTGATTTATTTTGATGTTCGAGTTTTGGAGTTTCGTTTTTATTATTCTAATTTATATGATCAATGAATGTTTTACAATTCAATATTGATCTAAAATAACAAATTTTCGTATAATTTTATTTCGTTTTGACTTCTTTTGATTAATTTTGTTTTGTTTTTGAAGTAAAAAAGACTGTTTCATGGACAGTTTATGTTAGTCTATACAATAATAATCTTACTTTAAAGATGCTCCTTACAGCTAAATAAACATTACTAAAGCTAAACATTTTACATACCATTGCTCTTTGATTCAAAATTTGGTCTGACCACAGCAATGTGCCTTTCTTTTTTGTTTGATCTCGGTGCTAAATCATTGCCATCAACGTTATGTATACTTGATTTATCTATAATAAAGACGGCATTTAACTAAAATGTAGTTTATTACCAAAAACTTCTGAAAAGGAGTTTCTTTCTCAAAGCAGTTAAAACATATACATTGCTTTAAGCATGTTTATATTATTCATGTTCTAAAACTTCAAAAATAATTACATTTTCTAAATTAAAATGTACTAATGAAATAAACTTCTTTTATAACATTAAGTGTTTGGTGTTAGCTATGTGGTATTTATCTTTACCTAACATGTACATTCTCATTTCAGTCAGCGAGCGTGATCATCGTCATAAGCAATGACTTATTCCCTTCGTAGTGTTAGTAGATATTCCTTAAAATCGAATGCCAATTTAACTAATTAAGGACATTTATCTCACATATATTATCCATAAACTAAAGTAATTTTTACTTTATGATCTACGATACAAAATGTTGATTCATAACACATCTAGAAGTATTAATGTTACTACCTTTATAGTCGTTTATGCTTGTTTTCTGCACAACATCCTCACTAAAACGTTTGTTTGTTTGATTATAATGTTCTTGACGGTTACCATCTGCAATTAATGTATAATAAGTAAATGACCTCACCTCCATAAAGAATTTCTCGTCACTACATTCTGAATCGCATTAATGTTTTATTTGATGATCATTAATTCTTAAATAAAACCTGCAAACGCTGAGGCATATAAACGGAGAATAACACAAGCATTATCTGATAAAATAAATTATGTATGTGATTATATTGCCCTTTTGTAATTATCCATGATTCAGGGCGCCATGAAAAGTAGCTGACTGCTTTATGACAGTCCTGGTAATAACATAATTAACACAAACTGAGCAATGAAAATTCACTCGCGCTTTAAAGACATTTTACGAAACCAATTGTTCTTTATGAAAACACACCAGAAAATACAAAATTTCGAATCGGACGGATACTTTTGCGTATATTAAAATCTACAAAAACCGGGTTTGGGCTTTACATCTGCACACGTAAATGCACGAACAAAGGGTGCATTTATTAATAAATATTCTCAGTGTATTGCGTATGAATAATTATTACATTGTATCTACAGAATGCAATCATTTTTAGATATTAGTAAATTTTGATTTTACCTGATCTTGTCTGACTTTTAGGAGAGCTCAAGGTTTTCCAACTTATAGGCGTTACTTTGCAATTAGCCATTAGGTTTTCTTTACCATACTTGCTTTGCATTATCCAATATTTTCTAACTTTCCGAGACCTAAGTAATAAATGTTGGCTGTGTTAGTTTTAATAATTATAATTGAATATAATGATAAGGATGATCATATAAGTAATGACTATAATAATTACATTGCAGATAATAATGACATTAACAACAATTACAATGCTAATTACTGTAATAATAATACTTGCATTTATAAACTCCTATTTAAAAAGGCCAATTAATATAATGACATAATACTTACTACTATAATACAATAAACTTATAATTAAAACAATTATATTTCTGTAATTGTCCAATTTACAAATAATTTTATGATACAATTACCTTTTGAGACAGCAAACTAGTACAGCGATTATAATGACAAGGATTAGGGATCCAGTTAGAAACATCAACCCCACCACAAAGAATAATTGCGCACCGCTGTCATCTGTTAAATAGAAAATATACATAACTGTTATGTTATTCAATTGTAATTATTATCTGATTCATGATAAGAAACGTTATCACTCATTTTACTTACGACAACAAGTAAAGAATATTTCGAGTAAATGCTTTTGTGAATTACTTTTTCAACCCAGAATTCGCCCTACTTGATAATAGAATATAACAGTTACTACGAGACGAAGTTCTTTTGAACTACATGGTATGACCTTGCTCTGAAGATATTACAAAATTATAGATTATACATTGAAAGCAAACCTGTATTATTAACTTGAATTTGATATTTCGATCTCCAAGTTAATGTTATTTTTCCGTAGAACAGTCATTTAATTTTCAAGAATCTCTAAGTTAATGTTATTTTAACCCAACGTAACTAATTGTAACTATCTACATATAACGCCTCTTTGAGTCGTCAATAATTCAAAACTTTAGAATTGTTATGTTGGTTAAAAACATATACAAACGATATAAGGTTTAATAATTTTACTTAATACAATAAGATTTTGCTTTTTCCGTAGTTTCGACATAAAACAACTTAGCAGACAAAGCTTTAAAAATATGAAATGTATTACCACTACTATCACGTGTATCATGTTTCAGCTCACAAACAGCATCTTTGTATATTGTACAGTTTTCTTTATAAACATCACAAACTGTACAGTTTCTACAACTAACAGTTTCGTTGAAAGTAACACATTCTGGTTGATATGTCCCATCCTTGCACTCCTCACATTTAGCACGCGTAATATTCCCAGGACAGTCGCCTATTGCTATGTAACCAGGTTCACAAGGTAAACACTAAAATATTGAAGCAAAATGGATGCATGTTTTTAATTAAGGCAAGAAATGAGAAATACTAATCTTCAAAATATTGCAGATTTACACTTGAATCGTTCAAATAGTTTTCCGTGTTACTGTAGTAGCACTGTGTCGGACGATACAAGTATATTTACTGATGGTTAATCGAATTTATCTAAGCTGGAACTTGAATATGATCTTATCACTCAATCCTACCTCGCTCACTTATTACGCGGAAAATAAAGGTCCAGTCGCAAAAAAGGCTCAAACCACTTGACTCATGTATAAAATGGCAGACACCGTAACAAAAATAATAAATTAATCAGTCTATAAAATAAAACTTATTTATGTAATGTGATTGATATTTCATCTTACCTGTATTCCTATCCCGTTAGTGTAAGTGTTGTTACAGATATTGTTAGCAAAAGCTTGGCTTGTGAGTACAGCGAAAACAATACCATAATAAACTTGATTTGTGATCATTGTCTGAAAAAAATCTGATTTATTAATTAACTAATGAGTTATTTCAAGACTATTAACCTGACTTCCCAAAAGAAAGAAAGTGATAATGATGATTTAAGACTAGTTTCTGTTCGTGGGAAACTATAAAAGTTAAACATATCTCCCTTCTGCCCTGAGTTTCGCGTTGTACAGTATTAAATCACCACTTAAAGAATAAGTATCAATGATAAAAATGAATAGAAAACCAGATATACCTATCTACCTACCTACCTAAATACATGAATCTGTATTACTATAATGGCTGGTATCTCCTGTAAGAGGAAGTTACCAGTGAATTTGCTTTAAACTGATTTGGTAACTTATCAAGAATAGCATAATTGGATAAAAACTCTCGCTTGAGCTCTAGGCTTTTCCTGAGCTTAACGAACGATAATATCTCTTCATTTAGAGATTCGCTGTTTTCCTCTCCATATGTGTTTACAATTCATATTTGAATATACTTTTAAGATTAAATGATTTTGAATAAGACGATTTACTTTGGAATTGTACAAATTATTTTGCGAGTCTTTAGCACATAAAACAATTTCAAGAATCAGCTTAACACTTCGGGACTTATTTTCAGTTTCTTGCTATGTTGCAAAACATTTTTATTTACACTTTCTTATCTCGTTATAAAAGATGAAAGTTTAACCATCTGATGTTTACTTACACTTAATATCTTGGATAGAGGCAACAATTAAATATACGACATAAAGCACTTTAAAGAGGCATAGTTTTGCATTGAACAAAGGCATCGGTGAAAAATCCATTGCACTTGATTATCATTAAACATCTAAATGTATTCAATCTATTGAATCTAATAAGAAAATTAGAATACAAGTCATTTTGGAAGAAATTACATGTTACCAAAATAAGAAAGTATTCGAACCTACAGCGGTGAGAGATTAGTGAGAGACAAGTGACTTGAAGTCAACGACCTTAACCGATCACAAACAAAGTGTAAACGTAGCATTTCGTTGCAACACAAATTTAGCTTATCCTGTAATAGTTTGTCTAAATCTTCACTTCGGATTATCTCGATTGACTTAATTAAATTAATACATTTATTTATTTATCTAAACAAATTGTTTGATCTTTTACTACCTATGCTATGAAGCATAAGCTTATTACAGTTGTTCACTTTAGACTATCTCAGTATAAGTAAGTTCGTATTTCATTTTAAGTACAGTCAATTTTTGCGACAATACTTAAGGTAATGTGAAAGAGCAAATCAAAAACAGTTTAAATAAACCTTCTTTTGCAAAAGAAGATAAACAAGCAAATTTGTTGAATTTATATCCCCCGCCGAGTACTGGTTATTACTTACACAACAACTGAAGACACAAGGCTTTATTTATATATTTATCATGGTATAAACAGTAATATTCTTTGTACATGATAAATACTCAGGGCAATAACAGATCAATAACTCTGTGTTAAATATTAATATCTGGACATGCCAATGAGATGAAAATTGCCTTTTTGTATCCATGGTTGCCACAAAGTTTTGTTGAAATTAATACAGCAGTTGCAAAGAAATAGCAATATTGCTCTATATGCATACTACATATCTAATTAAGGGCCATAACTCTGTAATGAAGGATCTGGTCTGTACAAGGCAACAATATGCACATCTCCGCTTGGTTTTAATGGTTCCCATCAGTTCAATTGAATTCCAGCCAGTAGTTGCAGAGAAGTAGCGTGGAAACAATTATTGCTATATGTGCATACTGCATAACTAATCAAGGGCCATAACTCTGAGTTGAAGTGTCTGACTGGAACAAGCCAACAATATGCGCATATCCTCTTGATATTGATGATCCCCATGAAGTTTTGTTGAATTCCAGCCAGTTGTTGCAAAAGTAGCGCGGAAAAGATTATTGTTCTATATGCATACTGCATAACAAATCAAGGGCCAAAATTGATGATTCCTAAAAAGTTTCATTGAATTTCATCCAGTAGTTGCAGGGAAGTAGCGCGGAAACGATTTTCACTCTATATGCATACTGCATGACTAATCAAGGGCAATAACTCTTATTTAAAGGGTCTGACCGGAACAAGCCGAAGATATGCGCATCTCCTCTTGATATTTATGATTCCCATGAAGTTTCGTTAGATTCCAACCAGTTGTTGCAGAGAACTAGTGCGGAAACGAAATTCGGACGAACGGAAGGACGAAAGGACAACGCCAAAACAATTTCCCCCTCCCGATTCCATCGGCGGGTGATAATAAGCACTGGACGGGACATTCCAAGATTGCCGCCATTTCTGTATATAATTTCAAAATATCACTTCATTAATACAAAAATCATTTCCTAGATTGACACATTTTATGTTAAGGACTAGTTTCCATTAGTATTTATAGTAAGCTATGTCTATTAAAAATATTATAAAAGAATACACAAATATGTCCGGGGGGGGGGGGGGCAGAATAGTCCATGGTTTTTGTCATCGTTATCTATTTTGTATCAAGGTTAAAGTTTAATTCATTTTTTAACTAACCATCTCTTACTAAAATGTACAAATTTGATTCATTACAAGAAATTATACGAATAAACTTAACAATAGAAGTTTAAAAAAGGGGAATGATACATTGACTATTATCAAAATTCTGGAAACAAAGTGATCCCTCGGAAGCATTAATCACAACAAAATAACATAAGAATTGCAGACTCGGTTTGATTGAGTCTGTACATGAGGGATAATGAATAAGTGCAACATCAAGTTTGAAATCTAACATTTATCTTTAATGTTGGCTTGGAACATGTCTTATGTCTGAACATTCGATTAATTGTTCAAATTTTTTTTCTTCTTCATATTTGCCATTAATTTAGTACGACACTGACATTTGATGTCATTTTGATTTTCATGTGCAACTGAATTCTGGTGGCTGCGTGTTGTGCCCGTTGCTTTCTGTTTATCTTCAAAGATTAAACATTCTATATATCATTTAGTTAATATTTTTGCCCTTAAATCAGATTCAACTGAAACAGATGCAAAAATCTGCTGTTTAATGTTGAAGAGCACAGCGCTTACCCATTTTGTTGCATTTGACGAACCAAGTGGAAAAACCTATGATGGACAATTTTCTGGTTTCGCCGGAATAGTCTTGTTGATCTTGCTTTTTATAGGCATCAAGTTATTTTGTAACGGTCATTAGGGTACATTTTATGTACGCATGATAATTGCCGTTTTTAGATGATTTGCCTTGCTTCAACATAGAAATTATTGAACTTTCACTTTTCAAAGAATAATTCAATTCATATCTTCTCGTCATTTTGGATAATATAGGGGCTAAGAGTGGGTTTAACGGTTATCAACCAGTTTAAATCCCATACTTTCAGATTCGCCACTAACCGCTCAAACGTTGAGTTCCTCTGTGCTGATTACACGCATGTTAAATGTATTGGGTACATGCTTTCTGTATTGAAGATTTCATGATAATCGCCGTTTGCACACATCTGTGGATGTTTAAAATTCAAATTTTCACGATTTTATGTTCCATTATATGCTAATAAGTTAAACATCATCATAATGTTTTGATCATTACTTCCATTATGTTAAAAAAGCATGATTAGTACCATTATGACAATATCAATAACTGATAATCACAATATTTTATCATAATTATGTGACTTGGTAGAAATACCTGGTTGCAAGAATATAGGAGATAAGGAAAAAAGAAATGCCTACAAGTAACTATCCCAGGGACTTTCATACTTAAAGCAGAAATATTTTGAGTGATATTGCTTATATTAACGGGTATACAGTGCCATACATACTGAGTTTCTGTTTCTTTCCTCGTTTAATGTTCTTTTCATTACTCAATCTTGTATGGCTGGAAATTGTCTGGGATGCATTATGTGAACTTGTCCGGACTTCTCCTCAAAAAGTTCTGGTAAAATTTCAACCAAACTTTACAGAAATTACAGTACAAAGTCTAGCTGTCTAGTAACGGTATCCGGTTCAATGATTTTTGTCAGAGCAATGGCCCTTAAATGACTTTTATTTTTAAAGTTTGTCCGGACCACTTTTCTTCTCTTATACCACTAATGCAATTTCAATGAAACTTTCAGCGTCGTTCCATAGCTCAAGTACTTTCGTACATTACACGGTTTTTCGGATGAAATATTTTTGGCTGACTTATGGCCCTTAGATTAAACAATATTTATTTACAAACTTTCAAAGATAGATATACATTTCAACAAGAAGACGTTGTTTTACAAAAATCATGTATGACTGAAGATATAAATGAAGAGAATGCTAAAGACCTTACGACTTAACTAAATTCGAAAGATTTGAAAACAGTTCTTCTTATATGAAATGGAGACTTATATTAACTTATTTCCTCAGTCGATTGGAAACGATGACGGCTGACTCGTCCAAAATAACTGGTAATGTTTTAAGATACTCGTATAGATTGACATATAAAGTGATAAAAGAGTCCCAGTGTATTGCTACTGATAAAACAATTAGCTTAATATGAAGTATCAATCATGCTTATGAAGTCGTTCTGTGACATGCGCAATCACTAGGATGTGCACCGTTTAATTTCTTCTTTGAACTTGGAAGTTTGGACAAGAAAGAAGATAATGATTTGTAGTTTCAACACTACCACAGGAACGATTTGCGAAAAAGATCATGATTTATAGAACTACAGCCTAGACGTAAACGATTGTGAATAACATGTGCTTTTTTATCACCTGTGAGATAAAATAAAGGGGGGGGGGGGGCTTGAAGCTGGTCATTCAATTTTGCTTTCTACGGTTGTACTTGAATTAATTACATCGGATAGATTGTTCCAGTCACGGATGACAGAGGGAAGAAAGAAATCTCGATATAGTTGAGTCCTTGAGGTTAAAATAAGTGTGTTATTGAAGTTACGTTGACGGTATGTTCAGTAATTTTTATGGATTAATAGGTGATATACACCTGCGTATAAAACAAGTTGCGTGTTTTAAATGACCTGATTTCCACGCGCATTT